CCTGAAAAATGTATCTAAATGTAACTTTTGAACAATAGTATAATATATATATATATATATATATATATATATATATAATTATAACTAGTTTCATTCAGTACTGCAAAAAATCTAAAAATATTTGTGTAATTCAAAATATGCTATTTTACCCAATATTTGTGTTTGCAAGGTACATTTGTTTATTAGAACAAAACAACAATAGTTTTTCTCAATTAGAGCATTTTAAATCAGCCCCTGATGAAGTTCTGTTTCTATTTCTTCTAAGGCAGCTGACTATGTAGAACAATTGTATTGATAATGAACATGTATATGTGTTTCTGTTATATAAGTACATACATTGCTACTTTACTCTAGTGCATACTGACATACTCTATTGCCAGACTGGACCAGAGATTATCTTACTATAGGGAGATGAGAGGGTCTGTATTACTTACTATTGGAGAAAGCGTAACGGCTAACTCGGATCACGTGTGCCTTAATAACCAATCACATTGCAGCCTTGACATCATTGAATTTCAGTCAGAGTTGTGCGACACTCAATCGCCGTTTACGGATTCCATAGGAATGAATGGGAAGTGCCGTAAGCCGAATCACACCTGTCGCAAAAAGTCAGTGACTTCGCTTATAAAATAGTATTTTTCCGGTTTAAACTCTAAAAATAGTTAAATTCAAAAGTGTTGTTTAGTGTAAAACATGTTGAAGATTAGCAGATATGCTGTCGATTTATTAAATAAGCCGTTTCCTCTAAAAAGCTGTTTATTCAGCGTAGTGAAGCCTCTCCTCCATTGACATCCATAAAAAAAAAAACGGCCTCTGGTCTCCTTTCCCACGTACTGACAGACCGGAAGCGTTGGCTTCAGCCGTTACGCTTTTTCGGCTAATGGTTGCAGGCTTGCCTTCTAGTGGCTTTGACTGGACTTTGGATTGTTGAACTAAAAGTAGACCCGCTGACAGCCTTTTTTCATTGAGTTCATTTGGGTTCTAACCAGGGACACATCTCTGTTTGCTCAGGTTTTGAATGGAGATGTTGAAAATGCCATTTGCCTTCATGCCTTCTACTATGCAATCTGGAAGCGTTTCGGTGCTCTTCCGGAAAGATACAACTGGCAGCTTCAGGCCCCAGATATTCTCTTCTACCCTTTAAGACCAGAACTAGTAGAATCCACATACCTACTCTATCAGGTACAACCTGGTCCCATCATAACCAGATTTTTAGACTTCACAGCATTACAGTATAATTAATGATAAACTTGACTCTCTGCAGGCAACCAAGAATCCTTTTTATCTTCACGTTGGGATGGACATTCTTGAAAGCCTTGAAAAAAATACCAAAGTCAGGTATAGGGTTTAAAATGGCAGAAAGTGATTTTATTGGGATGCTGGCATGTTCTCAGGACAGTTATTTTGGTTGTATGCTTCTCAGGTGTGGTTATGCCACTCTCCATCATGTGGTGGATAAGTCCAAAGAAGATCGCATGGAAAGTTTCTTCCTCAGCGAAACCTGCAAATACCTCTACCTGGTTAGTTGTCTACTATTCTCCCTTTACATTTTCCTGTTCTCACTTCTTGCATCTAGTCTTTTTTAGCCATACTTTTATTTGAGAAACTACAAACATAGTCAGCCAAGTTTATTAGCCAAACATTAAGTTTTATGCAGCTGACATGTCCATCACTAAATGATATTTAACATTCCTTTACAGCTCTTTGATGAAGATAACCCACTGCACAGGTCTGAGAGCAAGTACATCTTCACTACAGAAGGCCATGTAGTGCCGATAGATCAGCGCTTCAGGGAGAAAAATTGGGAAGACCAGTTTCCGTGTGAAGAGCCTAATAATGAGCCCCCAGCCAACATAAGCAACGTAAGAAATGTATTTAATACACAGTATTTTTCCTTTGATTTATGAATATGATTAGTAGTGGGGATATTAATAAATGAGACTAGTTTTACTCTCTTGTATTAAAATGAAATTTGTTAAAGGGTAGGGGGTAAGTTTGTTTTTTTTTTTTCTTTTTTTTTTCTTTTTTGGCCATGTAGTGCCGATAGATCAGCGCTTCAGGGAGAAAAATTGGGAAGACCAGTTTCCGTGTGAAGAGCCTAATAATGAGCCCCCAGCCAACATAAGCAACGTAAGAAATGTATTTAATACACAGTATTTTTCCTTTGATTTATGAATATGATTAGTAGTGGGGATATTAATAAATGAGACTAGTTTTACTCAAAATGAAAAAAATGAAATTTGTTAAAGGGTAGGGGGTAAGTTTTTTTTTTTTTTTTCTTTTTTTTTTCTTTTTTTTTTTTCTCTCTTTTCTTTCTTCAGTCATCTTGTCCAGTCAATTATATGCTTCTTCAAAACTTGGCCTTTAAGGATATTTGCTTAAATGCTGATTTCTCATTCTTCAGTCAAAAAAGGTTTGTTTGTTTATATATTTATTTATTTTAAATAATTATCAGCTATTGACAACCGCCCCCCCCCCCCCCTTTTTAGCTTCTTGGGGCACATTTTTAAACATGAAAATATGAGCAACTCATTTTTGTTTAATGTGCTTTTTTTGATAATTTAAACATGAAACTTTTAAAACCTAATTCAAAATGTACTTACAGTGTTTAAAGTAGTGTTTTATCAGGGACATGACAATGGATCTTGAAAGTGGTCATAGAAATAAGAATGACGCATTTTAATTTGTCTAATAGTGTGAAAGGATTCCTGAAGAGCGACGTTACGGCCTTCCGCTAAAGAGCATATACATGAGGCAAATAGACCACATGGTGGGGCTGTTCTGACATCAGTACTGTCCCTGGACATCTCAACACATACAAACCCCCTGGAGGGGTTCAATAACTCTCCAATAAGAGAACTTTTCAGTCTCTTTTTGCACATGAAGTAGTCAACAAATCAACCAGTATCAGTTGTTGTGTTTTTGGACATAAAAGTTGTCTTCTATTTTTATCTATTGTCTTAATTTGGACCAGGTGTTTGGGTTTGGCTATGTATTCAGATCCAGTCAGCAAAGGTCCACAGCCTAAAAAAAAACACAGTCAGGGCAGTTTGGCTCTTCAGAATGCTAAAATGCATCGCAAAACTGCTTTTGATTATTTGGGCTGATCAATTTCTATATTGTGCAATTGAGTGCGTTTACACACACTGTTACATGTTTACTTCAGTGCCATGTTTATTGAAACTTGATATTATAAAGGGCTTTACTGGGTTGAGATGGTATGCATGTTTCAGATTTTCTACTCAAGGAACAAGCTCTCAAATAAGCTTTATATTTCAAAAACAGTTGTTTTATACGCCTTAAAGGAACACACACAACAGATGGGCTTAATTTAATACAAATCAAACTGTGTTCTGAAAATGTTTTCACTTTGCAATATGACGCATTCTTTATTATTTTTTTTCATACTTTGTGCCTTGGTTTGCAAGGTGTAGAACACTGTGGCCTATTTTTTAGTTTTTTTTGCAAGATTCCTCATTTCCAGTTGTACCCATTCTGTTTTTCTGCTGTCAGTGTGTTGTGATGAAATTGGAAAGGTTTTGTTATGTCGCATACAGTTGTGGTAAGGTTTGAAATCTACACTCGCATGTTATTTTGACAGAACAAACCTCATAATTTGGTACATTTTACACAGCAGGACGAGGAAGTGCTGTAGATTCACTCTCAATTAGGTCTGGACATCTAGTAATTAGTCTCCGCTCTTCTATTTTGTATGTAAACAAATAGGCATATTAACAGTGAAATACATCAAAATTGTGACACTTTTTGGACCAAATATTACATTTAACAAAAAAACGTGCCTTTAACAAATTTCATTATTCTTCAGTCCTTCGGATCAGTAGTATGCCAAAATGCAGTGTCTGATAATGCAGAGGTGATATGCATGTGCTGTGCAAGTAACGTCATTAACTCTTTTAATGCTTAATTGTTGGTGCAAATGTTTTCCGAACAAAAGTCAGAAATAAGGGATTCTGAGAATGATCAGTATAAGAGAAGAATTCATTTCTTTGGTATTACAGATTATAATTTCCTTGGGGCACATATACAGAGAGGATACTCTCATAAATAGGGGTTATATTTATTAAGATTTGTTTTTATCGGATGCAAGTATTATTTAATTAAAGTTGATCAGATTAATGTTGATCTTGTTGATTTCATTGTGATTTAACCTTTAGTCCAAAGACTAAACAAGACAAAGGTGGATGTCTACACTGCATTGTATCAAATCAAAATTAAAACCATGACTTTGCAAAACTCTTTGACAGTCTAGCTCGGGGGTAGGCAAGTTCGGTCCTAGAGAGCCGCAGTCCTGCAGAGTTCAGCTCCAACCCTGAAAAAAAAACTCACCTGCCTATAGCCTTAGTAATCCTGAAGACATTGATTAGCTTGTTCAGGTGTGTTTGATTAGGGTTGGAGCTGAACTCTACAGGACTGCGGCTCTAGGACCGAACTTGCCTACCCCTGGTGTAGCTTGATGGAGCTGCAAAAGACATAAAAAAATGTTTTTCACATCAGTTAGTGGTACAGTCAAGTCTTGATATTCTTAAGTAAATGTTCTGGGTTAAACGCAATTTAAACTGCACAGGTACTGTAGCATCTCTGGCTTACAATCAGTCATCACAGAAAACAAAGTTATTTTCTGTGATCAATAAGTTGTAGTTAAACCTCTCAAAATTAATAAACCTGGATATACTGGTGTTAAGAGGCTTCAATTTAGCAGGTTTTATAATATACAAATTGATGGTAAAAATCTATATTCATAAAATGATTAATTAAAATATAAATCATTCTCAAGAAATATTATGTAAGTGTATATTAAACACTCCACAATCCCAGTGTGGTTTCAGTTGTTCATTGGTTTGCATCTTTTCAGGACACTTAAAGGACAAACACATCAGGTTCTACAGAAGCTTTAGTCGTTCAATTTCCATTTGCATGGTTGTAAATGGTTTTGCAGTCAATTGTGCCCTTTTAATCAATATTTGATTTTGTAATTTATACAATTCACTCAAAAAGTGTGTTCTTTGTCTCTCAGCTAGCTGCTCCTGAGCTAAACAACTTATTACATGCTGTCTTTTCATCAAAGTCATCCATCTTACACAGAGATTCTGATCATGAGACATAACATGATATAACTCCTCTGTAAATAAAAGAGAACTTTGTTTCCCGGTAAAGTCAAAACTTTTCTCAGCCAGCTTAAAAGTATGAACTTGACACAGTAACTGCTATAAAGTACTCTTGCAAGAAGATGCTGAAGTGCATATATGCAGGTGTTTCAGAAGGATAGTTATTTGGTTTACAGCTGCGTGAAGTGTAGTCACAAATCTACAGGATAGATCACTGCAAAAACTAATAGAGCCAAACACCCTTCATATATGTGTTGCTATATATGACTTGCTGCTATGAATATGTATTAGATGTTTAATTATGTGCAGTGTGTTTAATCAGATGTAGATCCCAACAGCAAGAATATAATTTCTTCTTCAAGATTTAATCAATTCAGTTCCCTCATGTATTTGCATGTATGTGTGTGTGCACTGGAGAATTCCTCATTACCTATACAAGGGGCAATGGGTCAGTATTGGGTTTTGTTGATTAAGCTGCTCTGTAAAAGAAGAAAGACTTTTTAATTATGCACATATGGAAATTATAGTCACGTTTAATATACTATAATAACGGCACTTTATATTATTACTCAATATTTATGATTTTAAATTATAATCACCTCTTCCCACAGATGGCTTGTTTAGAAGAGACCGCAGTCTTTGAGATTTTCTTTGATGATAATGTCTGTTACGGCATCGAACACAAACTTGACGTTCTCTGTGTCTGTGGCACAGGTCATATGGGAGTAGATTTCTTTGATGTCTCGCCGCAAGTTCAGATCTAAGAACTGCATCTTGATGTAGTTACCAGCATCCTCAAAGGTGTTGGGACCTGAGAGAGGCATGGCATTGTAGTTTTAGCATGGTTTTGCATATCAGAAACAGAAGCCTAATTAGGATATTTGTATCTTAATAGAAGTGATGTTACATGATGAACCCCTACTTAAAATGTGTTAATATTATCAGTTTAAATAATCTGTTTAAATGATAAGAATCTGTGTTAAAGAATGAAGTTTATATTTTTGTTTGCAGACAAAATGCTGTCTCACCATCATAATCAGGGAAGCACATGCTCAGATGAGCTTTCTTGATCTTCTCCACGAAGACGTCCTTCTTGTTGAGGAAGAGTACAATGGAGGTGGCGGCGAAGTAACGGTGGTTACAGATACTGTTGAACAGGTGGAGACTCTCATGCATTCGGTTCTTTGGTTGGAACGGCATGGAAAAACAGGGTTTGTTACTAAAATGCCTCATAGTAATAGTGCATGTAAAACGTCCGGTTGGAGTTTCATTGATGGACCACAATTGCAACCTACCACTTCATCGTCCTCCACCAGCACCATGTCGTATGCGCTTAGAGCAGCGATGAAGATGATACAGGTCACACCTTCGAAGCAATGGATCCACTTCTTCCTCTCCGAGCGCTGACCGCCCACATCAAACATCCTGCAGACCACGAAGATCAGTTTATTGGCATTGGTGTCCATTCAAACTTATCTTATTCAATTCCTCTGATTGTTAAACTTGCTTGGAATTTTGAGATGATGATGATGATGATGGTCATTGGTTGGTTTACTTCATGCCATAGCTATCATTGAGGAGGCTGAAGGTGTACCTGAAGTTGAGGTCCTTGAAGGAGAACTGGGTCTCGATGATACCGGTGGTCTTCACTCTTGATCGCAGGACGTCCTGTTCAGTAGGGACATAGCCAGGCTTGACCAGCCTCTCCAGGTCATTCAGATAGCTTGGAGATAGAGTAAGAATCAATGCAATATTTTTCAAGACAATTTGATTACTGATTTGATTATGGACATTAAAACCTTGCTAACTGGTATTTAATGCTTTAAAAGGCTAATTATGAGGGCATACTATCCGGCAGAGTCGTTGAGCTGGTATTCGGAGGCTCTGTCAAAGCACGCCTGGATGCCCGAGTCCTTCCACAACCTCAGGATGATGTCAGACAGCTCCTTTGGCATGGTGCCTTCCTCGATGGTGTCTGCTAAGTGCATCAGCTTCCTTGCATCGTCCTGCAGCAAACAGGTAAATTGATGTAATAAATTATTTGTTCAATCAGTCATGGCAACACATCATGTTTATACGTTACTTTAATTCTTCAAAATAATTTTAACTTCATTTTTGAAGCTATTTTATAAACTTTTTTTCAATGTTTTTAAGTTTAAGAATGTGGAATTTCTTTTTACATATTTATCAGCTTGTATGTATTTGGGCCGTTGTAACTAAAGGTGTTTAAGCATTAGCTACTATACAAACTTTTCTAAAGTGATGATCAGTGACTGTAAATACTGTAAAATCCTTCATCATTACATTTACATTTAGTCATTTAGCAGGCGCTTTTATCCAAAGCAATCAAAATCAACAAAAGAGCAATGATATGCAAGTGCTATAACAAGTCTCAGTTAGCCTAATGCAATACACGTGTATGTATATATATATATATATACATACACGTGTTAGCCTAGTTATGTATATATATATATATATATATACATACACAAGTTAGCCTAAAAATAAAAAGAAAACAGATAGAATAGAAAAAGAATAGAGCAAGCTAGTGTTAGAGGCCGTTTTTGCTTTTTGTTAATTGTATAATAAATAAAAGAAAGCAGAATACAAAAAGAATAGAGAAGCTAGTGTTAGTTTTTTCTTTTTAAAGAAAACAAGCAGTTAGTAAATTAATAGAGTGCAAGTCTAAAAGGGCCCAGTTTTTTTAAAGACTAGAATTAGAAGAGAGAGTGCTAGAGTAAGAGGGTCAAGTAAAGGTCATCATGATTTAATAGTCTCTTTTAGATGTGTAACATTCATGATCTCCCCTATTAATCAGTTTTTAAAAATCCTTCAATTATTACAATTTTGTTTTGTGGTATACAAGATAATACTAATTTGGTCTTTCTACTTAAAAAATTCACATTTAGTTCAGTGTGTTACTATGAGAGAAAACTGTTTCAAAGGAGATCCTACACAACTTTTTTTATTTTTTCATTGCATGAGCTTTAAAAAAAATTAACACATCCCGGAGTTATAATTCATTGGATACTATAGTGTGAATTTAGTAATTAATCTGGGACATCTATGCTTTTTCACAATAAACAATTCAGTTACCGTTTTTTTCTGTTGTACATGTATTTGAAAAATACCTGTATGCAGTTATATCTGTTGAACCTCTCCCTGCCCCTACCAAACAATTAATGTTTTTTTACATACACAAATATTTAAACACACCTACTATAAAGTGGGATCTTATATTTTTGCACAAGGTACCATGTTGTTTTGATCATGTACATATGGTAATCATTCAATACCAAAGTATTACCATCTGATATACTCATTGTGCCATGGTATCACTACAGTTCTTTTCCATCATTTAACCTGTTCATTTCTGTAAATGACTAATGGGTAGAGCACCTGTGCGGCAGCATCTCCATAGGAAAGGTTGAGTGTGCTCATGGCCCTCACAATGGCCAGGATCGACTGCATGGTGTTGCTGTAGATGATGACAATGAACTCCAAGCACTCTTCAAGGGAGTAACCATCTTTGTGAATAATTCTGTCGTAAAAAAAAAACATTTAATTCATTTAATTGACCAAACTATTCATATGAAAGAGCTTTGAATACGAATTAATAATGAGTATAGTCTCACATATAAGCCAATTTATGGTATTATCATACTTATTTTTTCTCAGCACTTACTTCATCTGTTTGACAATAGTGCTTTTCCCCGACTCACCAGCACCTGAAGAAGATAGTAATCAGTTTAGTATTGCGATTATTGCTTTCATTCATTTTTATTACATATTCCCGTGCTGTTCAATAGTTAGTTGTTGGTACGATTTTTAAATGTTTTTGAACAAAGTTTCTTTTGCTTACCAAGGCTGCATTTATTTGATCAAATATACATTAAAAACAGTAATATAGTGAAATTATTACCATTTAAAATAACTATTCGGTTTTAATATATTTTGTAATGTAATTTATTCCTGTGACGGCAAAGCTGAATCTTCAGCAGTCCAGTCTTCAGTGTCACATGATCCTTCAGAAATCATTCTAATATGCTGATTTGGACCTCAAGAACTATTTCTTTTTATTATCAATGTTGAAAACAGTTGTCCTGCCTAATATTTTTGTGGAAACTGATACATTTTTTACATTTTTACATAACAGAACAGTGTTTATTTATTGAAACAGAAATGCTCAACATTAGACTTTGTCTTAAAATTTCTTTAAAAAAGGGAATCTTACACCAGTTGTTTATATACAGTATATAGCAGCAAGTTATTTGTTGCAGTGCGTTAATTTTTCTATGATGTCACTTAAAAATGTATTGCAAATCATGTATTTGCTGAGATAAATCTAGATGGTAATAGATTGTAATAGTAGACTTTAAGTTATGCTTTAGGAAATCAAAATCACAAGACCAAAGTTATGAGACAAACTCATCAGTATTTTGAATGGATTTCATGGAGTATAATAACATTTCTGATATTGATTATTAGCCGACTGATTCGACAAAAGTGTGGTAAGCCTTGGTTGCTTTTTGTCGGATCAGATTACATTCATACAGACCCAAAGACCCCCCCCCCCCACATTCTAGATTCTCAGCCAACCTCCAATATTATTAAAAAGGGTGATTTGTTTGTTCCACATTTCAAATATATAAATATTTAAATTTCTATTATTTTTAACCATTTGAAAACCATAGATCTACATTGTGCCAGTGTTTTGAGGGGTAAACCCACTAAGATTAGTCAAACTGTAGACATTCACACAGTAATTATTAATTAATTGTATTTTTTATTTATTTATTTTGGCATGCATATGTGAATTAATGAATACATCCTTCTCCTCTACTGTGTTTATCTTTTGAAGCATTACATTAAGAGGCTTGAGGCTTATTATTTTTGTCCTAAGCCTTGTCCAAGCTTGACATCCCATGACCCTGACCCACATCACCTCACGGACAAAGACACCTGCAGTTATGATAAACAGAGATATATAATATAAATGCATTATTTTAATATGTCTTGATTCTGGAATGCAAGTTGTTTTTTAGGCATGCAAGTATTTAGTGTCTTTTGCAATAAGATTTAGATATATCACATTTTGAGTCTCCAGTTTGACTACACTTTGGTTTGAATTTCAGTAAGGCGTCAGTTTTCATCTTGCATTTGAGCTTAAAATCTTTAATGTTCCTTTCATATAACAAACTTAAAACATAAAATTTCTTTCAGAATCTTTATGGCCATGATGTGAATCCATTGCCTGTTTATTATGAAATTTTAAACGGGAAGGCTTCACAACACATCTGCAATATACCGTTTTCCAAATCTAGCAAATGAGCTATTCTTCATGTTTGGACTTGAGCAATCATTTGAGTCCGCTTGTGTGTTGTAATCTGTTGTTACCCACCTGGGTTGGTGGGGCCAATGAAGAACAAGGACAGAAGGCACTGAAAGTGTTGAGAGCTCATCGAACCTCAGATTGGAGGAGAAGGTGCTGTGCTCAGCAAAAGGTGATAATCTGGCCAGCGTCTTCACGAGCACATTAGAAGGGCCATGGAGGCTGTGTGAGTGGAGCAATGTGACGTTACACACGTTACTTGTTTAGGTAGAAGCTAAAAGTAAACGGGTCTCATAAATGATTGGATATGTTGACTTTGAGCTTGATAAGTTTTCCTGTATCTATATTCTGTTGAAAATGTGCTTGACCTCATGAAAGAAAATTACATCTCGATGGCCTACAGTTTAGGCTTTTTCAATAGAACTTGGACTGAATGTAAAGGTGTTCTTGATGTTGAATATTGACATCTGTGAGTAATTCTAATCTCACTTTCCCACTGTAGTCATCGGGATCAGTTGACATTTTCCATGTTGTGGACACAGTGTGCAGCGCAGCATTTAAAGAGCTTTAGTCTTTTACGTGACAGCTCACTGACCCCAATCTGAAGATTGCTACATTTTAATCCACAGGCATCACATGTGAGAGAGACACTTTCTTCATTGTACTTTTTATCAGTAGCAATTCATGTCAATTTGAGAGTTTGTTCCAAGTTGTTTAATACGTGATCATAATAAATCATCATAAAAACTAGTATTAATAAAGCTTTTCTTATGCCACATGCAATAACAAAGTTTATTTCTTGGCATCGATGGTTCCGTAAAGAAACGTTAACATCCATAAAAAATTTCCACTGCACAAATGGTCCTTTAAGGTGGAAAAAGGTTCTTTAGATGTTCTTCACAGAAGGAAAAAAAAAAGGTTTGTTTAAGAACTCTTCAATGAATGGTTCTTTAGGGAACCAAAGATTGTTCTTCTTTCGCACCTCTGTGAAAACCCCACTTTTGGAACTTTTATTTTTTAAGAGTGTACACTGCATTAAATATGTATTTGCATTTATCTGGGCAAATACACTGCGTATTAATAGGCTATTCTTAGGAACCGGTGCTACTTCTGCAACATTTTTGTCATCATGACACGGTAGGTATAATTAGACAATAACCAGTCACGTTTGATAGATTTATCTCAGTTTAGTTTGTAATGCAAAAATAAATTTGAAATAACGCTGAGATTTTAAAGTTTTTTTATTGTTCTATTCAGTGATCAGATTTTTTTCTTGGCAGAAGGTACACAAATATTAATTAGAAATAATGTGTTATGGTGTCATGACATTTGCTAGTTGCGAAAGTTTTAGCCATTTTTCTCTTACTTTTGTGAATGACAGAAAGGTGAAATGAATGGCAGAGGTGAAATAATGCAGCATAAAATCTTGTAATCGGTATTAAAGAAAATACAAATCACACTCGATCTTGTGAATGACCCTAATGTAAAGTTCCCAAACAATGTACTATTTTCTCAGTTAATTAAATAGGCAAATCAACATTTGAAGACCAACTTCCTTGGTATACTTTTGGTGTAAAGTGAACAACCTATTGCCTTATTCACCATAACCTCTTTCAAGTGTCTCTTTCAATCGTTACACTGAGACTGCAAAAGAAGGGAAGTATAGGTTCACCCAGTAACATTTATGCAGAAAGGCCAACCTGTATTTGTTATAAAATATATATAACTTTAATTAGTCAACAACAATGATGAAAAAAAAAAAAAAAAAAATAAAAAATACAATATTATAATATTAACTGTTCATAAGATCTAATTCAGGATCTTTTTCACATTAGAATATCCTAAAAAAGACAAAAGGGGACAAACCACAGTGATGTCTTACAAATGAAAAAAAACAAAAACCTTTACAACAACCATTTCACACAGTCCGTTTGCTATGTGTGTTGAGAAAACACAACGGAGGCCAAACAGACACATCTGGTAATTGTGCTCGATTCCATCACTAGTTCGGCAAAGTCCTCTGTCTTTAGAAAACAGTCTCTCTCTCTCTCTCGATTCGTTATGTCAAAGACCATACAGCAACACAGCAATATCCAGAATTTGACTACATATCTGTACAGTACAAATACAATGCATGCAAACTCAAACAAGCCCCCTAAAGTTTAGCTCCAAATGATTAATGCTTCCAAATGATCGCCTATTATGTGTTTAGAGGTGCTTGCATGGATGCTTATTACTAAAAATGTCTGGAGAGGTACATATTTAAAAACAATTCTGCTTTGCAAAGAGATGGATGGGTTTTGAACCCACAGCTCTTTGAAATTTTTGCGTGCAATAGTACATATTTATATAAATGAAAAGAACAAAAAAAGTTATGCACATACTGTACAGGAGGCTGTAATCAATAATAAACCAAACATATAACACACAGAAACGACTTTATATTTAACACACATTAGCATAGCAACATATGGAAGATCAAGAAGATTAAAAGATGAGTTTCTGATGATGATAAAGTGTTTTTCAAAGTCTTTTGAGAGGTCACAGAATACTCAGATGCACCAAATATATGTAGAAATTCTTTAGCCGTACATCTGCAGAATGAGAACATGTGCTTGGCTAAAAAAGTCCGCTAAATGTACAAACGGCTTCAGTCCCATCTTTCCTCTGGTATCAAAACATCAAGTGCAGTCAAACTGTGCATTAAGAGATTCCAACTATCCGGTTAGTGGTATGTACATAACGTTTTATGATAACGGTCACATGGTGTTATTATGCGAATACCGTTGTAATAAATATATTGGAAGAAAAGTAACAATGATAACAAAATATTTGCACAGATCTATACACAAAACGTTTTTGGCTCTTCTTTTTTTTTTTGCTCTATTTCCATACAAAGATATCCACAGAATCTAACTATGTACAGCCTACAATAAATACTATGAATTTTCAAAACCGTATTGTTTATTTTCTCCTCGGTCATAATGGTTGCGGGTATACGCTTGTGTGTAATGGTAGTCAAAGACCTTGAGGTCAGCCTCGACTCTCGTTCATTTGGATGGAGTGGGATGTTTTTCCGTCTCATGTCTCAGCCATGCTGCTCTGCTCCTGGTGGTGTCTCCTGTTTCGTGGCTTCCGGAGGTCTTTCTGTACTTCCTTGAGGTCCTTCTTGTGTGCGTGAGCTGCGGGCTCGTCCCCCATCTGCCAGTAGTCCTGGCAGTACTGGTTGATGAGGCCCATCTCTGGCTGGCTGAGGATGGTCAGCAGGTCTTTGTACTGCTCTGCGCTGGGCGTCCAGGTGCTGGACTGGAAAGGCGGCACGGCGGGAGCGGTGGATTCGGTCTGGATGGTGTTGACGGTGCGGGCCGAAAGGACCACCAGCTGAAGTTTGGCCAGCGTGTGCTTGAAGTTCTTCTCGGTGGAGGTGCACTGGAAAACCCCTCCGTCAGAGAGCTGGAGAGAGCGCAGGAGAAGACCCTGCTCCGTACGAACGACGCGTCCATCAGAACGGACCTGAAATACATTAGGTTGTTGGGAAAAATATATTAGGTTAAAATGTACATTGATGTGAAAAGGGATTTTTCCTGAACTGGTCATCATTAATTGTTTTATTTTTCAATTATCAATTTCAAACAATTAAACAATTGAAGGATCATGTGACACTAAAGACTAGCGTAATGGCTGCTGAAAATTCAGCTTTGCATCACAGGAATAAATTACACTTTAAAATATATTAAAATAGAAAAATGCCATTTTAAATTGTAATAATATTTCACAATATTACTATTTTTTTTTGGTATTTTTCAGAAAATAAATGCAGCCTTGGTGAGCACAAGAGATGTCTTTCAAAAACATTCAAAATCTTAATTATTCCGAATATTTGACCAGTAGTGTACAGGATTATATTAAGCAAATAATATCTATGGTAATTATTGCATTATTAAAATTCACAATGTTCAGGATATTGCTTTAACATACATCAATTATGGCATAACATTCTGTCGCACATACCTCTCTCCTCCTGTCACTGTTCTCCTTCTGGAAATGCCACTTGATTGACACATGAGGAGATCTGGCCTGGCACTCCAGGAAGGCTGTGCTTCCCTCTACTCCATACTGCACTGTCTCCAACGTGTTCTTATTGGCTGGCAGGAATTAAAACAAAATACTATCTAAAACAATAACCAAAATCAAAAGGAGCTATTTTACCTCTTCCAAAATATGTTTTCAATCTAATCTTAAGACTAAAAAATCTTAACACCAAGTGTATTTTTAGGTTCCTCACCATTGGAATTATAGCCCCTGCATTGTCTTATAGGGTTGCCATACTTCACATCTTGCCTCCGACTCCGCCTACAAGATTCAGACAACCAATTTCAAAGGAGGAAAACAAATCTTGTAAGTTATATTCTAAGTATAATGATCCAACAATAAAGATATTTACACACATGCAGCTCTAACCTTTTTTGGTTTGCTGAGTAGCGAGAGCAGGACTTTCCATCCCAGGCACAGTAAGGGTCTCTGCCCAATCAGCAGTCAGCACAGGCCTCTCCGTACACATCACACCTGTGCAGCGCCAGATGAGTGACGCCCACCACTGAACTTACATACAGCTGTTGCTACACAGGAAGACGGAAAATAAAAGAAGGGTTTCATTCAAAATACATCATAAAATCCCAAGATGACAAATGTTCCTCATCTGTAAACTGCATTGCATAAAACCGTCTGCTTAACAAAATTTAAATAATTCCTGTTTTAAAACTGTATTTAGTATTATCGCTATTAATATTTGTTCGCTATTAATATTATTCGCTATTAATATTACAAAATTTGTGTTTAAAGTTCTGAATCATACAGTAAATGATGTGCAACTTACCCGTTTTGGAGAAATTTTCATAGTAGTGATTGGAGTTGGAACCTGTAATATGAAAAGAATTGTAGTTATTTTTTATTGAAAAATATAATATAATATAATACAAATGAACGATATGTTTTTGAATTTTATGAAATATAATAACATAAAATATAAATTTTAATACAAAAAAAAAAAAAAACTAACGAAAAAAACAAACAAACAGTATATTGTTCTCAATGTGTTGACACAAAGTGTAATGGGAACATAAAAAGACAATCTTACTCTGAAAACCTCAACCTCTTCCAGAACCAGCTCTTCAGTCTGTAGATCATCTCTGGGCAGGACAATCACTTTCTGAATTGTCCCTCTATCTGTAAATGACCAGAATAGAGGAGTCAAAAATATTTATAACATATAATATTATAAAGAATGAAGTTGGCTTAAATTTACTTAGGGGCTATTAAAACAGAAAAAGACAATGACTGTACTAAATTGCATTTATAGATCTAGAGCTGCTTTGTTGTGTACAAAAGCATTAATATTACAAGTGTTACAAATTTGCAGTTCTAAATTGTTATACATTTTCCATACAATTAGTTTTTCAAATTTTAAACCACTATGTTTATTTATAAATTAAAATTAGATCTTGAATGCCAAATTTCAATGTGGTCCCAGACTTTTAGACACCAGAGTATGCATACTGTTTTTGTAAAAAATAAATATAAAAACATAACATAAAAAGACTATGTCTATGTGGAGATGTGTAGCAAGTTCACCTGTTCCCAAGAAAAGCACTTCATAGTTGCCATCAGCTGCAGCTACTTGGTCCACTGTGATGGTGGTGAACTCATAATCCACATTAGTACGGACAACTAGGGGGCGCTTGTGGACTGGATAAACGGCATTGAACATGGTCGGATGGTTGCGCATGAAGTTGATAACCTCATCTGGATAATCTTTAGTAGACTTCATGTTTGGGGTGAACGTCCCTCCTGGACACTGAAATCACAGGGATAAAATTGAGTTTCTTTTTTTTTTTTGTATTTCAGCACCTAAGAGTGTCTAACATCGTCTTTATATAATGTATTAAATTTTACTAATGACACTCACTGTTCCTGGTCGGGGGTAAGGAATTTTACCCTGGTAGGCAACCCACTGGTAGTTTGGCCCTTCCTTATGAGCGAAAGGACCATTGAAGACCATGCGAACATCAGCCATTGAATACACACATACTGCTGAACCTTTAAACACAGACCTAGAGATGCAGAAAGAAGAATCCATGCGTTGAAACAAAAAGAGAGGTGGTAGACACAGTATTAGACCACACTGGCCTCGTCACACAGAGAATGGAATATTGATATACAAAGTAAAATATATCTATATATACATTATATGTGCGTTGTCTTTATGAAAATCTGCTGACCACTATAACCATCTATGTAATGTCACAATCCAATCAATTCCTACTGGTTAAAATCAAGCCTCAGTCTACATTTGTTTTGTTTTTTTCCACTTAGAAACGCAATGGGATCCAAAAGTCAGACCACATTGAAAATATGCAATTCAAAATCTAATTTAAACTGGGAAATAATCAAGGTTTCAGGATTTTGAAATATATAAAACAAAGATTATGCCCTAAAATGACATTAAGAAATACATAAGATTATGGACCATTACTAGGTCACTAATCAAATAAAGAAATTTGTGACAGTAAGCATGTGAACTCCTTTGCACAAGGTTCATGCAAACTTTAGTGCATATTGGAATTAAAGCAAAAGGGGGACAAACCAAATATTAAGAAATTAATTCAATTCAATTTTAGACCGCTGACAATACAATTTATGGGAAAACATTAGTATTTTCACTAGTGACTACTTTTTTAGTGACCACTAGTTACGCTTTTGGACCCAACTGTCTGTATTACAGACATAATAGGAGTAGAGAATGCAGTTTTACAAATTAACACTAATACAGATACAGAGAGAGAGAGAGAGAAACAAGAGACAGAGGGACAGATAGAGCTGTGAAATCACTTGCAGTTGATGGAGAATTTTCACTATTATCACCAAGAATGGTGCTTTTGGGTTTAAAGAGCTCAGACAGAGCCTGAATTGCTCTAACACACACACAGCCTTGTGTATTAACACTAGATGATTAGCATGTGAACCTCATCTAAAATTTTGACAGCTCCCTCTGAGGCCAGTTGTATAATATTTTATCATGTAAGAATATCCTCTCCTAACCGCATCTGATAGCGGTGGTATTATGTAGATAAGTCCTTATGAGAATATCACATCTCAGATTCACAGAAAAGCTCCTTCCTTTGTGCTGTTGGAGGACTACTGTCTGTGAAGCCTGCCAAACACTTGTTATTCAGTATGTTAGAAACAGTCTTCAGCAGCGGAGAAATGGGGGTGTTGCCCCATGGGCAACTGGAGTGTGAATATGAAAGCAAATCTATTCAAGCTCCTTTGCCAATCTGATAAGCGGCCTGATTAGTAAGAGGCGTCGAGGAGAAGTGAGGATTGGATCTCGTATTTGGGGAGAGACCGTCATGAACTTACGCACCCAGACACGGAGAAGACGCCGTAGATGACAGGAATCTTGGTGTCTTGGGTTTTCTGGATGTACACATCCCCTGAAAGAAAGATGGACTTACTTTAGATCCTGGATTTGAAGACAAATTATCAAATTCACATACTAAAGTGTGTACTTTGGTGGTGACAAGGAAGCACATACTTCTAAGTAGTAAGACAATGAGTATGTAATGGGACATATTATATTATAACATCATGTGACTGTGTCTTGATACCACAAGTTCCTTAGTTGCATAGCAGCTAGCTACATTTAGCATCTAGTTAAATTTAAAGAGATAAAATTTAAGAGATAAAATGCCACTACCTGACATATCACTGACATCCCTGCTGAAAAAAACAGCATCACAGAAATTCTAATGGTTTCCACTACAAATAGTAACATTACAAACATTACAAACCATCAACTTTTAACCATTAAACCATTAAAAAATGGTTTCCTGTAGTGTGTTTTGGGACATATTCCATTAGGATTTAGTGGTTTTAACAAGCCACCAATAGAAAGCGACCAACCAGTAAAGACTAATAGGCACCATTACAGTTTCCATTAAAACCAGTAGGCTACAATTCCCATTATAACCTGTAAGAACCATTACAAATTCTGTGATGGTTGTTTTTTTAAGTAGGGATAGGGGTCTTTAGAAATCACATGTGTCTCTGTGACAGCTATAGGCTAGGGATACAGCAAAAACGAGATAGGAAGTGGCCCGCCCTTTTTTACAGTCAATCATAATATGTAGCCAATCAGAGAATGCTCTGATATTGCTTATATTTGGTGATACATGGTTAGCTAACAAGTATTTGGAAGGCAGAGTTTTGGGTGTGTAGTTCAAGGATAGGGGGATGAAGTAGATATTGTCTAATGCAGATGCTAACTGTTAGCTGAAGTTAGCAAAACGGCTAATGGCTTTAAGCACATTTGAGTTTTAGTTTTTTACATTTAAAACTGTTTAAGCAGCTTTGGGTATTGCCTTCCTTACTACATTTGCTCTGAAAAAGTCAAAAGATAACAGTCACAAACTCCTCCCTTGTTACACAAGGGGTTTTGGGAAAGATTAACACGCTTTGAAAATTCACTGCACCTCTGGCATGCTGTTTTCTACTGATCCCCTAAAGGGACATGGTGGTGGAATAAAAATGAGAAGGGAGGCCAAATATCACGTTGTTTTTGTGTTCTCTCACAAAACTGCTACGTTCCCTCAAGAAACTGTGTGTTTGCTCGCAAAACTTTTGTGATGGAAATAATATGAGGTGAGAAGTAAAACTATATTTAAAAGCTTTAGCAACAAATGCAAACTTTCTTGTTGGAATGCAATACTTTTGTGAGAGAACGCAAATGTTTGGCAAACGAATGCAACATTAAGGGAATTCTTGTGTGAGAGAACGAATACATTTTGAGAACAAATGCAAAATCACTGAAATGTACTTTTTTTCTCCAATCTCATATTTTTCCATCACTATAAGGGGCTCCATAGTTTTCGATGTACATTGGGACACACTAATTCCAAATTTGAGCATTATTTGTCTAAGCATACAATTATTTGGTATAGCAACAATGGCTAAACCAATGTTTGGGGATGGACCTTTTTTTTTTTTTTGAACAATGGAAGACAGGTGGATTGTTTAAGAAACATGTTTGAAATCAGTCATTATTTTTGCAGCTTGGTTTATCACCACCCGTGACTCCAACATTTCTGCAGCTTCATATCAGCAAGGCACACAAAAAGCCAAAAGTCTGTGAGTGTATGTGGCAAGTCGTCAAATCTATCTCCATTCAGTTACATCACACAAAACACAACGCACTGAGAGGACAATCTTTCCCTCTCACTGTTCCTCTCTGTCTTTGTCTCAGTTTCCAAAATTCTCCAGCTTGTTTCGACACAAATTAACCACAAAGGACCAGTGATAGTCTGCTAGCCAAAACGACAAAGATGGAAAAAGCCCATTGGGAGAAACAGAGTATAACGTGCAGAGTGGGACTGTTTTTTGGGGGGGCTTCATCGTAAGAGCAGTTGAGCACCATCAACGTTTTACTTGAATGACAGTGTAAGGGGGATGGGATACAGAGGTACATAGAAGAAGGTTAAAAAAGGGGCAGAAGTAAAGAAAACAAAA